GTAGTTTTAACTGAATATAGTTAAATTGGCATTGTAGAATCCAAATTTATTGTAAGAATTAAAACATTATGCAGAATTTTTTAAATATAGGTTAAGATAAAAATCTGCTCATAAGCTCAGGAGCGAACCTCGTTAACAATGTTTGCTTAAAAATATAATTTGATAGGTTCCTGAAAAAGCTATAGGCTAATTTCCCCCATCGATTTCAATACAGAGAGCCTTGATTATCTCCAGATCAACGGAAATAAGTAGAATGGAAAACCTACATTCAATTTTTTTTAAACTTTTATTCTACACATTTACTATTTTTCCGACTAACCGATTACAGATTTCCTGTTTTAGAATATTCTGTAGAACAGAACGTCTAAAGTTTCTTCTTAACAGCAGTTTATATTTTTGTAAGGAATAAGGATATGGACTAAGTAGAGGATTCGCTTCACCCTGCAATGTATCTCTGTTGGTAAGGATTTTTATGAAGTTTAGGAATCCAATATAGGAAGGATCGATCGAACTCACTTTGGTTGACTGGAATTACCCCGGTAAATACTAAAATGAGACTTTGAAGAATTTCATCTTTATAAAATAAACTGCGAGTATAAGTTGGATTTCCAGAGGTAGAATTAAAACCAGGTTCTCTAAATTACAGTTCTGATAATGAGCCTTGCAAACAAAGACGATATTGTCACAAGCCTTGTCGACTAACCACAGCATATTGTTCATGTAGTCTTTCTAATTCTTTGATCACATCCGATTGAAAACAGAAGGATAGATGGTTCGTATATTGCCTTTTAAATTTCTTATACGATTCTTCAATATATACAGTATATTTCTAAAACATTTAATCCATTCTGATAGGTGTTCAGATCTACCTTTTCATATTTAGCCCAACGTCTTGCATATTCTTCGACAGAATTCACAATACAAATGAATTTCTGTCGCCAATTGAAAGATGATGCTCCCTGTATTTAGGTCCTTTTGAAATGATCGTTTTAAGGTCTTCATTTTTAACTATATTGACATCACCAGTAAAGACGTGTCCAGGGGACTATAATTTAGAGAAAAAATAGAGCAATAAACTTGAGAAGATTTTGTTATAGGTGTTGAATATCTAGGCACTGTAAAGTTTGTTTATAATTAAAAAGTTTGGATGCAACAGTTTGGTAATATCTCTAGGAAATGCAGGGTGTATATCCATGTTCCTTAAACGAAGTTTTGGAACATATTGAGTTTACTCTGTTTCTTATTACTATTTGTTTTTGTTTTAAGAATGCAACAATTTAATTGAATTAGGGAAAATCATATACAAGTAATTTTATTAATAAATTGTGTCCATCCTTACTGATAGCATCAATTCAACTTTTGCCAATCTAAGGCCGTTGTGGCCTGCTGTAAAATCCTTCACCTAATTGTACATCAAGAAAAAATAGTTATTTTGAACATGACAGGACATATACATCCAAATGCAACATATTTGTTCTGAAAATGTAGAACTTTTTGGTAATCGGTAATTGACCTGCTCAAGGGAATTCTAAACTCTAATGAAGGTATTTTGAACTTCCTTAAAAGGGTACTATTGCATACAGCAAACAAACCATTATCGTTGCACTTTTGCATATTAAACAACACACGGATTAAAACAATCTTTGTTGAACATTTGCGTACAACTTCACTTCAATAACGACGTGAACTATATAAGTATTACATGTAAAGTATAGAGACTTTTCTCAGTCTCGAATACAATGGCAAAACATTTTTGCCCAGCCAATCGTACCACATTCTAATTAATCCAAATATATGCAATTTTGCAAATTTATAATGAAACAATCCAACAAATACAAATAAGCCTCATTAAATAACGATTGACTGATGCACAAGAGATATCAGTGCTGATACTTTTGTTACTGTTACGGGGAGTGAGAGAATGCGATTGACCAGAACTTGATTTAAACCTCATTCCCTAGGCTCTGAACATATGTTTTTACCATCTGAGATATCTGGTCATCAGCAAATGAACTGTCTGACCACCGTACTTTACATTATCCAATTAGTTCCCGTCACTCTCTAAGTTCATCTTAAATGCCTAGTAGTGTGTACCCTTAGTGAAAAGGTCCATGAAGATGTATTCAAAACGGACTTCATTTATGCACTGTAAACTTCCCATGCTCAAAAAATATCTTTTATCAACTTCTCATAAACTATGTAAACAAGGAGAAAGCTGTCAATGTGACAGCAAACCATTTTTTAACAGTACTGGTCTTTCTCACATGAATTATAAAAAATTTCTGTTATGAAAACTGTAGGAGGTAAAATCCCAACAAAATCAATGTACCATACTACCATATTTTGCATAGAATGAAATATATGGAGATAACGAACAGTATTCAAGCTCAAAAGTCCATTATACAATACAAAATAGGAGCAGAGCAAACACGGACCTCCAAACATCAGAGGTGGGATCAGGTGCCATGGAGGAATAATTAATTTCGACAGTTAGTATTTTCCCCATAAATGATCAAAATTCACAATCTTAGTAATATGCTTGCCTCTTATATATATATATATATATATATATATATATCTATATCTATATCTATATCTATATATCTATCTATCTATCTATCTATCTATCTATCTATCTATCTATCTATCTATCTATATATATCTATATCTATATCTATATATATATATATATATATATATATATATATATATATATATATATATATATATATATATATATATATATATATATATATATATATATATTCATTTGATCTGCAAAATGAAAATATTTCCATTTTTAAAACTAGGAGGAATTATCCGGACCAATGATGTGCCATATATGCAATATTTTGCAAAAAAAAAAAAAAAAAAAAAGACTGTTACGCTCAACAGCTGATTTTTCTCATAATAATCGAATCAAAATCCAAGAAATATGCACATCTCTGATATATGTAAAACTGAACTGCAGAATAAAAAAAAACTTTCTTGAAAACTGTCGGAGGAGTTATCTTGACAAATTATGTACCCTATATACAATATTTTATAAAAATATGATTAAGCTCAACAGCTAGTATTATTTTCATAAATAATCAAAATCCAAGTAATATGTACTTATCTTATATATGTTCAACTGATCTGCAAAAAGAAAGTTCCCATCTCGAAAACTGTAGGAGGAGTTATCCGGACAAATGATGTACCCTATATGCAATATTTTGCAAAAATATGACTGTTCAAAAGCTGGTAAGTATCTCATAAATAATCAAAAGTCAAAATCCCTGTAAAATGCACATCTATGATATATGTGAACAGCAAAATTAAAAGAAAAGTTCACATCTTGAAAACTGTAGCAGGAGTTATCTTGAAAAAGGATGTACCCCCTTTGGCAGCCGCCCGCTCGACCGCCCGCCATTTTCACTATTTCAATAACCTGGTTAAAATTGGTCAACTAACTTACAAATTACATAAAACTTGTTCAAGAGACATAAACATGATGATTTTTACACAAAAAATATTGATCGCACACAGTAACAAAGCATCGGTATTCTGATTAATGGTATGCATCCTGTTTGATATAATGCATCAAGTTCGAGAACCTATGTGGAATTGTTTGTTTTGAATTACACTGTGACTTTTTTTAAAGATTGATATTTACTTAGATGACAAAAACTGATATGAATGAAAAACCACCTATTGTACATAGTTGACCTATGGTTATATAACAACAAGAAATATGCACATCTCTGATATATGATATATCTCTGATACGTCATTAATTATTCACTTTCAAATAACTAAGTCAATGACCTACTTTTCATGTCAGTGACTCCTGGGTATTTCCCGGAAAATACCTCATTTTATATTATGACCAATATTTTCTTCATTAACAAATAACAAAACTCTTTGTATAATAAAATATAATATAAATTGAATGGCTTAAACAATAACACTTTGAACTATGAACTTCTTAATTATTTCAGTCCGAATTTCTTCTATCATTTTTTTTTCTAATTTTACCCACTTTTAATCCAATATTTCAAAAATTTGAATGATAAGAACATTCGATTTAAACTATTTAAACCCTCAGTTTACTTTTGTTGCCCTTATAATGCCGGTATTAAAATTATATGAAATTAATGATTAAATTTTTCAGTAGTTTGTATGAATTGTTTTTGTTCATATTTTTGAAATTCTTTATCGCATGTCATTAAATTATTTTAAATAATACATGAGGTAAATTAGCACACATAATATTAGCAAAATGGTGTGGAAAAAACATACTAGTATGGAATCTTAATTTTATGAATAATATTGTAAATAAAAAAAACTGTGAATAAAATGAAAAATCAAAATTAAGTGCGAATTTCCTCTGCCTCACCATTAAATTACTTATATCTTGCACATTTTCTTCAAATAATAAAATATAAAAATTTGTAGATTTATTAATTGATGTTGAGTTATAACAATATAAGAAAAGCTCTCAGAACGAATTCATTTTAACCTTTAGAAAGTATCAATGAGTTTTGTGTATGTGCACTGTGCATGCTTCAAGTTTGTCAATCTGAAAGTAAAATTCCAATTTTTTTTACCTGCATACTTAACATATCAAGTATCTTGCTTATAATAAAAATTCTTCCCAGTAGTGATGGAGGGATAAAATTGCTACAAAGTTTAGAGTAGAAAGTGCAATATATGAATAAATATATTTCAGTGCCATATGAAAATTCAATAACAAATGTTTTCAATTTAGGACAATTTGATTCGGTGAATTTAAAATGCTGAAATGATAAACTTAAGTTGACAATATGTTCATGTTTTCAAGGATGAATCTCTTCCTGTCCAATGAAACGTCTGACTTCATAGACAAGTATATTAGGCAATTTCAAGGAGTTGTAATATACTTTTATGAACTTATAGTATGTCTATTTCTTAAACACAAGGCAAATAAGTCTTAAATCAAGGGAAAATGGACAAACTTTAAAAAAAAACTGTTGGGGTGACATTGGCAACATACGGTGATGACAACCCTGTTGGGGTGACATTGGCAACATACGGTGATGACAACCCTGTTGGGGTGACATTGGCAACATATGGTGATGACAACCCTGTTGGGGTGACATTGGCAACATACGGTGATGACAATCCTGTTTGGTCTTTTTCATTGTTTAGGACGAATCATGAACTTTATGTTCTTCAATGCAATGTTGGAATTTTTCCAGTAGTACCAGACCACATATTTCCACCCTGTTTTCTCATTATTTGTATATTCTCCGTTAGGATTTGTATAGAAACAAGCTTTAAACCACCAGGCAGATTTCCAGTGGGTGGCGCAGTTGCCGCTATCCTTGTCATTGTCCTGGTCTTTCGTTGAAAATTTCATGCCATTACTGTAAGTCATGCTGTCTCCTGCAAAGTGTTATGTAAATAATCACAAATAAATTATGCAGTTAGAAAGCTTTGTTTTAGCTATATGACACTTCATTTGCCATAGAAGATTTGATTATTACAGTATGCATACAGTATTTCATGTATTTCTTAGTCTGGATTAAGCGTTTTCCAAAGATACAAATATCATTTTATACATGTATGTCCTTTAAGATTACATTTCTTCAAAAATCTTTTGTCCAGTGTAAAGAACAAAGTATTTTCCCTGCCTCTATGTTGCAATTTAATAAAAAATACAAACATGTACTTAAATGATAAAGCCATGGAAAAAAGTTTTTCGTCAATAAAAGAAGTTTGTTGTGCTATTAATCTTGACTTAGCTTGCAAACAATGTCATTCCAAGCTAGGTAAATGTGATTTTTCTTTAAATTACAAATCCACATAATTACATAATTCACTGACTATTTATTGATCATTGTGTATGCTAAGATCAGAAGTGTAAATTTCTATAATGGCCAAAAATTGGAAATCTTTAGAAATATGTAATTCTTGCCCTTCAAGAAATTGCATTGTGCTTTCATGAACACCCATAAAACATTAAAATTGAAAATAATCGCTTTAAATTCGTTATAAAGAATTTTATGTACGCTTAAGAATATTAATTTTTCAAACAATCATCTAAGCACCGTAATGACAGTGTTATAGAATGAACTTTATATGAAAATATTATGAAACGAAAATAAGATATTTAATCATTTATGCGATTAATTTTTTGTTTGATACATGGAAATCTTAAAAAGATTTTTTAGACCAAACAGATGCTTATGAAAATAACAATGCATATCAACTATGACAACAAAATAATACCCTGTCTTACATCTTTTCAAATACAAGATTTATTGATTGATTTTTCGTTTCATGATACACATTTATATTTATTTCCTTAATAATTATTCTACAAAATACCTTAAGTATAAAAATGCACTTTTTTCATTTACTCATTCGGGTACTTTTTTGGCACATAATGAGAAAAATTTCCTTATAGAAAAGAAGCCTTTACATCTATTTCTCCAATGATTAAAAAAAATACTTGTAATTACATTGAATTTAAAGTTTTCACTTTTAACAAATGATTATAATAAATACATATACTTGTAATAACATTGAATTGAATTTTTGTTTTTTACTTATAACAAATGATTGTAATAAATACATATATACCAGCTGTTCCAGAATACCCGTTAACCGTCAGTTTATATTTGCTCGCCTCGTCTCCAACAGAAAAGGTAGAGAAGACTGCGTACGCTTTGTCACCATTGAATCTCTGCATATCTACTCGAAGTTCCTGAGATTTTTTTGATGTAAGACTGTGTAACATTTCATTTCCTAAATATATATGAACGGAATTTATAAATAAAAAATAATTGAAATTATCGTACTATTTTGTAACATATTGTTTTCAAAATTTAAAATAATACAAAATGCTTTACAAGAGTGAGAGAGCAACACTTAATCATACTTAAATGCCAACATTCACAAGTTCTGTGGATTCAAATTATTATAATTCTGAGTTTTGGGTGGGGCTATAATCGGGGACCAAATTTAACATAATGCAAATACACTGCAAAATTTTTTTTAAAACACTTCTCTCATGTCATGTACTGTCAAGTACTTAAATCGATAGAAAAGCATGTTATGTTGATTCAAGTATAATTAAATCATGACACTACTCTGGGCTAGGGTCTGGCCACTCTATGGATAAACATTTTCCTGAGAGTGAAGGGGGTGTCGATATTTTTTTAAATATTCTTTAGAACAGCAGTGATAAGGTTACTAAGATGACCATTGCCGGGCTTCTCATTATTTACACACACCCTACCCCAACAACACCCTACCCCGACTACCCCCGCTCACCCAAGATTCTATGTACCTTAATGTTATGTTCTTATGAGTGGAAGTCAATTTAAGTGCAAATGAAATAACTTTCCAAACATATTTGTATCAAATTTGAATTTCCCAATCTATTTTTAGTCTAATGTGGAGAAAATAAATCCTTATATTCACCTGTAAGGTCACGTGCAGGTAAATTTTCTACAATATTGGATCTTAGCAAATCAGAGAGATATTCAATCATATAATAAAACCATTTATTGCAAAAGTATTATGTTGTTTTATGAATGAAAGTGTTTTGTAATTGGGTTGTATTTTCTTCTTATTGTTTTTAGGTCTTTCTTAGAATGGGTTGAACATATTGTTTTGAAGTTGTGATGTCGTCTCACTGTATGCATGAAATTTTAAAGGATACGTTCTATACCTATATGTGCAGTAGCATTTTGAGAGCTTTTATGTTGCTCTTTAATTTAACATTTCTCTTATTTCCATTCAGTTGGTGGCATTTTGCAAACATTTTAAAATTTTAAGAAGGAAAATAAAAGACGTACATAAAGCTGATTTATAATTTTCATCTTTGAAGACAAAAATTCAAAGCTGTCTGCAATTACTGCTGTAAAAATAAACTGTTTATTTTATTACCTATCCAATATTCATGATCCGTTTCTCCGAAGCCTTTCTTGTATTCGGTCCAGTTACGGTAGAAGTCAACGGACCCATTAATTCGTCGCTGTATAACCTGCAAAAAGCATTAAATGTCTTCTCCTGCCACCATATTAACTTAAGAATTGTTCAAAATAAGATAATTATGCATATCATGAAAGTTAAAATTTCTGGTTAGAAGCATCAAACAAAATATATATGAGAGAGAGAGAGAGACCGTCCATCCTCCATTATCTGTTGTCATGTCACAATATACAGTCTTCCTCTCTTTCTGTGATATTGTGATATTGTATACACCATTTTTGTTTTGAGTGTCTGGGAACCTCTTTAGTATATCAGAACAATCTTCACCTGTAACATTTTGGTTTGTATTATATTTTATGCATATTCTTTGAATAAAAATTTATAAGAAAAAAATGTATCATTTTCCTCTCATGCATAGATACATGTATGATTTAAAAGAATGTAGAAGTTTACCTGTCATGGGTTCTATTACAGTATGGCATGTGCTACTGGAATTGTTTCTATCGCTCGCTTTAATACCTTTAGTTAGATTCTCTAATCTGCTCACTACATGATCCAGTGAGGCTATAGAGGAATCATTTGCTTTAAAAGAACACACATCTTCTCTCAAAGATAACTGTTCATTCTTCAAATCTAACAAAAGACTTTTTATGTTCTCAATACTCACTACTAACATTTCTTTCTTCAATTTTTCATTCTCTAATGAAAAAGTTAAATTGGAAATAAATTCTTTGATCTTAACTGTTTCTAATTTTCCAACTTCGATGGTTAGGTTATCCAGAGATCTTACGATTCTGTCGACATTCTGGACTTTTCCTTGGATGTTTTTGACAGTTACAACGATATCATGAATTGTCTGTCTTTGGTCAGCCTGTCCGTCGACATCTGACGGAAACTTGGTTTTAAGCGTTTTAAGTAAGTCCTGTTGTTCTGAGATAGACCTGCTTGAATTCCTGACAATGTCACTCTCTTTTTCCATTTTTTCCTTTTGAACTTTTTCAATCATTGCATTCAATTTCTCTTCCATTACACGCTGAATTCCGTCAAATTTTTGCATTATTTCTCTCTCTATATTTCTTGTTATTTGCTGTATTTCTGATTTTAAGTATTGTGTAGCCAGTTTCTCAGCTTTTTGCTGTATATTAGTCTCTTGGTCATCCAAATATTGTCCAAAGACTTTGTATAACGATAAAGTCAACAAGGCGACGACAAAAAGTGTCCTTTTTGAACACATTCTTTCAATTGAATCAATTTCTACTGTATGTAAATTAAGCAGGATCACCTTTTGATACTGTCTATTATGGTTTCGCCGAATCTTTAAAAGTTTTAACTCTGTGTTGAAGTATAATATCCGGCAGAGTCAACACTTGAATCTACAACTCAAAGATTTGACATTCATATTTCCATTTTTATATTTACAGTCCCAGAAATTGATTTAGAAGCTCATTTTTTTTAAGATAGCAGCATCTTTTAATTTTAATTGCACTTATGTTTTGAGAAGAAAAATAGATTCTGCTTCATGTAATTGGTTAGGGTTAGAGAGGATATTAAATTAGATCAGGATCTCTCAAATTTCTCTTTGTGCAGAGAAACTAAATTTAAGCTTGTAAGAAACAAACAGAAAGCATCATGTAAAATTGTTTATCAGTACCTCTTTCAGCTAAGTACTGAAAGTTGATCAGGACACCTACAATTTTATTAAATCATCATTAGGTCAAGCGCAGCGAACTCTATAGATTAACGTGTAAGAACACGGCGAAAGTGCTTGCAGTAAATATTTTGTGATTTTTTTGTTTTTGGGGGGGATTTTTATTTTTAATACACCCAACAGAAATGTACCGGTTCTGCATTTTGTTTTTGAAATTATATATATATATATACATATATATATATATATATATATATATATATATATATATATATATATATATATATATATATATATATATATATATATGAAGAGGCGGATCTAACTGAAAAGTGTATAAGAATATGTAGGAATCATCTTGAAAAAATCTTCTGCTCAAGAACAGCAAAGCCATGATTAGTCATATTATTATAAAAGCATCCTCAGGTAGTGTAGATTCAAATTTGTTTTAGGGTGGAGTCACATGGAAACATGTGGGAAAAATCTTTAAAATTCGTCTATTTAAGAACAGCAAAGTCATGACTAGTAATATTGATATGGAATCATCCTGAGGAAGTGTAAATTAAAGTCCCCCCCCCCGTTTAATACTGAACTGATTTCTGCTTCTTTCTAGCCAATGAGCTCAGGTGAGCGATGTGGCCCATTGGCCTCTTGTTTTAATTGTACCCGCTGATTTCAGTCTCTCTCATCAAATGTTTCGACTCAACAGATGAAAATGATCCACACAGTGATGAATTATGGTTAGGTTATCATGCAGGCTTGCATGCTCAAGTATGCACAAGGTCTTTTTCCAGTGTTAAGACATTTTTATAAATGAAGACTAACTAAAAAATTAATCGAAAGAGAAAATGTATAAAAATAGAATAAAGGAAAAATATCTGACTGAAAAAATTATACAAGCAAAGTAAAATACATGTATGCAATTTTACCGTAAGTGTTTGAATCCCAAAACCAGGAAAGAGAATGGAAAGACGCAGTAGAAAAAAGATCGAAAGATAAATGATTTGAAGTTAAAACGGAAGAAAAAAAATCAAAAATAGTAAAATCTTTCGTAACATCTTATTCTCACGTCCTTCCGATCATGCATGGAAAAGATAAATAAGTGTAAATGAAAGATGGCGGAAGAAAAGACGGTCGGAAGAGAAGTTAAGAGAAAAATCATGGTGAAAAAATTTCACTTTTTGCTTTTGTTTTTCACCAAAGTTAATTAATGACAACAATCAACTTTGGACTTGGGGATTGTGTCACACCTTGTAAAATGCGTGCACGAGTCGAACTGTTTCCGACTCGGGGTTGTTAAGGAAGATTTGTTTTAGGGCAATATTTCATCCGTCGGAAGCTAACATTAGCAATGCCCAGTAACTTTTAGGAGTCAAATAATTGTCAGTTTTTTATGTTCATTGCGTAAGGTATCACCAACTCTTCCCATAACACCAAACATTTCTCAAATTGTGTGAAAATTAGGTTTTGTATGAATGTTTAAAAATTCAGAGTTCATACAGAGTTTTCTATCCTTCCGAGGAAAAGATGAGAAAGTATACATTTGGAAATAAAAAGCAGATAATACAGGTATGCAAGACCCAAATAAATTTAGAATATAACTAGAATATAACTTTGGTTAACGTTTGTGATTTTCATCTGAAATTTCAGAATATTCATTCGCCATTGTTGAAACACGGAAGAATATTGACAAGAGATGTTAAATGCAAAAGTTGTCTTCCTTTTTTTCCTGTTTAGCTAAGCTGAGCCGGAGGCTCAAGTGAGCTTTTCTGATCGAAGAGTTTCTTGCGTCCGTCTGTCGTGTGTCGTCTGTAAACTTTCTACATTTGCTTTTTCCTTACAAGAACGTTTGGGTCAATTTCAACTAAACTTGCCACAAAGCATCCTCGGGTGAAGGGATTAAAGTTTGTTCAAATGAAGGGCCATGACCTCTTTCAAGGGGAGATAATTAAGAATTAACGAAAATTTAATGGCATATTTTAAAAATCTTCTTCTCAAGAACCCATGGGCTAGAAAAGATTAAACTTGTGTGAAAGCTTTTTTACATAGTTAAGATTCAAGTTTGTTCAAATTGACACACCGGTGGTAGTTTGGGGCTTGATAGAACATTCTATTATAAAATGATATTGTCCTAAGGACCAGGTTTAACCACAGGTACTTATGGATAGGACACCCCCCCCCCCCCCCGAATATACCCTCGGGTCAAAAAATATTTTTATGTCTTTTTTTTCATAAACTATTCTTCTAGTACACATTACAATGTATTCCATATAAAGAAAAATCCAAAAAATAAACGCAGAATTAACGTTTTAATAAAAGCTCATATCCGCGGTATTATAAAATTTAATGTCTTTAATTTAATTTAAACTTAACGTACAAAACAGTGTATCTCACAACATCGAAACCTTGTATTTAATCTACATGTATTATTCCCCTACATATAAATGCAATATAACCTTTACCAGATACTGCATCGGAACCATCTAAGAAGGAAAACTATTAAATTCATTCATTTGCGTCGCAGTACAACTCTCACTTTGCGTAAACTTCGGCAAAATTAAGACTTAATTGAATGTTCGTATAAAAACGATGATAGAAACAAACTTTTTTCTTTTTCTCTTTGGTAACACTATTCATGAGTTTGCTATTTATGATGTCGATATTTCTCTCCACTAGTTCGGCTAAAAGTTGAATTTCGCTAGAATCAAATCCCCCCCCCCGGATTTCTATTACATTTCAATTTAATTCCTTTCGTTATTGCAACACAATTTTCATGAAATGTCGATTCTTTTTATTATATAAGACGCTCACATACTTGGTAAAATGACATAATTTATATTTTGCGTAAACTACGTAAATCCAACTCCAGATTCAATTTTCCCGGGGGGGGGGGGAGGATTCTACGCTGTGTAATAGTTATAGAGTGCGATTTCCCCCACAGCCAATTTTCCCTCAATAAAATTTCATGGCTATATTAATGTATGAGGGGGAGGGGGACACATTGTTACAAGTGTCTCTTGTTCAAAATAGCAACCAGTTCCACTGAAATATACTAAAGATGAAAATTAAAAATTTTAAATCTCATTTTTATTCAGTAACTGTCGAATCAATTCTTTTGAAGCATTAAAATCTGATTCTTTTCATCTTGAAACTAGTTTCTGAAAAAAAAAAGTTAGTACAATGTAATCGGTTGGACAATTTTTTATAATGTATCCACGGACTCAAAGGGGAATTATATTTTAGATGGTCTTTCATCCAATTGTATTTCAAACTACATTATACATAAAATTAATGTGTAAGTGTCCTCCAAGATTCTGGTGTTTAAATATCCAAAATAGCTAAATTGGGTCATCGTTTTCTAAGAATATGAATCTCTGGGGACATACTTATGCTTGGATTGCAAAAAAATTGTTTCTCGTATGGTTTTGTTCTTGGTTTTGGCTTTTGTTTTTCTTTTTTTTCCCTCTACATGAAGAAATACTCGATTCAAATACTCTCAAAATGCTACATGTATGTGGAACCCATCTATAATAAAATTTATTTAGAACTTTTTCACAAAATCTTTCTAAAAAGGATCGATCCATAGGTAAAATACTCGGTTTTTAGAGGGCAAACAAATTGTCAAATCACTTAGGGTAGCCTATTTAAATTTCGTGAACAAACCGAGAGAGGGTGTTGAGACATTGAGTCTTACGATTTTATGAGTTGCTAATTTTACAATTCCCTATGAGTTAAAATTTTAGGTTGAGACTTAATGATTTGAACTATATATTTTAAGATTTGATACTGAAGTTGTCCTTCTTGAATCGAAAACATTCATATTTCCATAAAAAATCATTTGACTTTCATATAAACTTTAAGCCAAAATATTGTCGATATGATTTAAGCATTGATAAAAGAGGGGAAATCCTACTCTGGGAAAGAAAATATGGTCCTAGTGTGAGATTTTCCCTTGGGAGGAAAAGCTGTCTACTGAGTATTGGGGAAATCCTACTCTACAACATCGGTTAATTGTATCAAAATACACATTGCATGGATATGCCTATATACATGTATAAGTTTATTCCTGAAGTAAGGTCTTTTCATATAAACAAATAATTAAAGAAGATATCTGCAATATTCTGTTTATATTCAACCGAACCCAACCAGAATTTTATTTCAATTTTACTACCATATGAATCATGTCTTATGTGCCAGATACTTAAACAATTTCTAAAATCATTTGTGACAAGTTGACCATTCTGCATTGTCATCATATAAGAACATAATTGATTACATTTTTAATTGAAAATCTAGGTTGATTGACAAATGCACAGAATATACGGGATAAGTTACGCATCGAAAATAGTTACAGAATAACGTTTGCGGTACTAAACGGTGATTTTATAATTTTTTTCACAAATTAAAGAAATTAAGTATGGACTGGGCACTGACGCTCCGTTTAAACAGTAATTAAAACTGTTTTTCTATTTTATAGTACTATAAAGTATATACTGGCATTATCATCGGAGCACCCCTTCCCCCTGTTCCAATGGGGTTGCTTGTGCATGTATAGGCGTTAATCTTGTGAATAAGTTATCCTAAGAACTAGATGTTTATGATTTTTGACGATATTTTTGGCTCAAAATGGTTTTTTTTTTTGGTTGATGAAGAATTCAATGAGCCTACTCGTAAGCCCAACAGCCGGATATCATCTGTTAGTATGACTGGCATATATAGGCAGCAGGTTCCCTAGTTCTTATGTATCCAGCCCCACGAATATACTGAAATAATACAATACAAATACCTGGCAGAAAAAGATAACTGAAGACTAAAAATGGAATCATCAAATACTGAAGACAAGCAACTACATGTATAAATTTTAACAAATACATTTAATATATTGAATGAAAACGCTCACAATTATTAATAGCACATTATAGAAGTCCGTCCAAGATGGAAATATGGGTGAATGTTTCAGCATGGACTGATGGCTGCCATTTTGATCTCTAGTTTTCAGTCAGATTTAAATCAAAGATTTTCCACTATAAATCCTTTAAGACAACATAACAGGTCTTGTAGAGTAGGCTTTCCGTACTAAAATCCCCCCCCCCAGGAAAACTGGCTCTAGAGTAGCATTTCCTCCCGCAAAACCGGCTCCATCTTCGCTAGCCAAGGGTTTTTGATCCTCTACTCTCCTAACAAACCCTTGGCATACGGTGCAGTCAAAAGCTGGGATTGTTTACGACACATGATTTCGAATCTTCCAACATATGCACAAATTGCGTCATCGACAAATATAAAAGGCGTATTTGAAAATTTTAATCTTTTAAAGAATAATTTACAAGAAGATATCGAGCAATGTTTTAATTTGTTATTTATCGTGCAAATCTAATCTACAATAAGATTCCTGATCAAAATATTTGTACATCAGCTTAAGATTGGATGACACCATATCTATTTATAGAGTAGCATGTTATCTTACGAATCGTTGTTTTCTTGTGTTTTTCATTCCCGAGACTAAAGAATCAAGATATATCCCGAAGGCAAATATCATCATTTACAAAAGCAATTGCTGATTGGTCGAACGATGTCGATCAACTCCAAACACAACTCGAGAAAACCCAACTTTTAATAGCACCGTATGCCAAGGGTTTGTGAGGAGAGTAGCGAAACAGAAACCCTTGGCTAGTGAAGATGAACCGGTTCTAGAGAAGGATTTCCCTCACGGAAAAATGACGTTAGAGTAGGATTTTCCCACGGAAATCCCACATCAAATTCAATTTTCCTGGGGATAATCTACTCTGTGTTATAGTTATAGAGTACGATTTCCCCCAGAGCCAATCCCCCCAGTAAAATATCATGGCTGTACTATGTTTACGTTGGGAGGGGGACTTTACAATTATGTCCTTTCTTCAAATAGCGACCAGTTCCATTGAAATGTACGAAGTATGAAGAATTAAAAATTTTAAATTTCATTCTTCTCAGTAACTATCTAACCAATTCTTTTGAAGCATTAAAATCTTATTCTTTTCATATGGTCAAACTGGTTTCTGAAAAAAAGTACAATGTAATCGGTTTGACAAATTTTTAACTGTATCCATGGAAACAAAAAGGAATTTTACTTTAAATGGATTTTTTCTCCAGTTGAATTTTAAACTACATTTACATATTATTGATGTTTGTGTCTAAGTTTCAGTTGTTTAAATATCCAAAATAACTGCAGTTGCCATGGAACTAAAAAATTATTTCTTAAATTTGAAATTTTGCTAAACTCTAAGAGAATACAAGCTGTCGGCTTTAAAATCCAATATAACACCGCTGGGCTTTGGCTTCGGCTTGCAAAAGCAGTGTTTATTGTATTGTTTGTTTTTAGTTTTGGCTCCCCCCCCCCTTTTTTTTTCTCCCTTTGAAGAACTCGATTCAAATACTCAAAAAATAGTATATGGAACCTTTAATAACATAAATTTCACAATTTTCTCACACACTCTTTGTAAAAAGGATCGAACCTTAGATAATATATAGGGCCTTTTAGAGTACAAACAAATTATCAAATCCTTAAAGGTGTATAGATATACATGTACATTTTAAAATTTATGAACAAACAGGCGCCTAGAGAGTGTGTTGAGACATCTAGTCTTACGATTATTGAGTGACTAAATTTACAATTTCCTATGAATTAAAATTCTTGGTTAAGACTCAATGATTAAAGATTTTATTTGACAATTCTTGAGTAGAAAACACTCATATCTCCATTTCAAAATCAACTGACTTTCATATAAACCTTTAGCCAAAAACATTTCCATATGATTTAAGTATTGATAAAAGAGGGGAAATCCTACTCTAAGAAAGAAAGAGGAGTGTGGCTCAATTGTGAGATTTCCCCTCAGTGGGAAATCCTACTCTAGAGTACAGATTCCGGAGGGAAAGCTGGCTATGGGGGAAATCTTACTCTACAACACTAGTATAACATAGCAAGATGACCTTATTATCACTTTACCAACGTAAAATCTTTCTGTGGGTTTATTATTAAAAAGAGTAAAACATGTATAGGACTTTTTTTGAATTTTTAAAAAGTCTTCAAGAACAAAGCTTTAATTTTAGTCAATCAAATATAAAAATTCTATACTCTTTTCTTTGCAATTTGAAATTTAATCCTTACCTGCATAAGTGTTCCAATGCCATATATTCATGTACTTAAAAAATGTTTTGAAATAAACACAATTAATTACTTGATTTAAAAAGTGTGAAATGTAAATGTCTATATATTTGATTTGATCCCCTTCCATGATGAATGGTCATTCTACTTAAATATATGACATCATAACAAATACATAAAGCAATTTAAAACAATATCTGAGGAAACATAGAATAATCATCTAAATTAGAATTTAAGCACAAAAGTCCCTTTTGAACACAGTACAAAAATGTTTGTAAAGAAATCAGGGCAAAATGGATATATTAACTTCTTGGGTGCTTCTTTTCTTTTGATTTGCAACATTAAAAGCTAAGAAAATCCACTTCATGTCCATTTTACTGTCTAGGACGAATCATGAACCTTATGTTCTTCAATGCAATGTTGGAATTTTTCCATTAGTACCAGACCAGATATTTCCTCCCTGTTTTCTCATAATTTGTATATTCTCCATTAGGATTTGTATAGAAACAAACTTTAAACCACCAGGCAGATTTCCAGTAGGTGGCGCAGTCGCCGCTGTCCTTGTCATTGTCCTGGTCTATCGTTGAAAATTTCATGCCATTACTGTAATTCATGCTGTCTCCTGCAAAGTGTTATGTAAATAATCACAAATAAATTATGCAGTTGCAGTTAGAAAGCTTTCTTTTAGTTATATGACAGTTTATTTGCCATAGAAGATTTGATTATTACAGTATGCATACAGTATTTCATGTATTTCTTAGTCTGGGTTAAGCGTTTCCCTAAGATACAAATATCAGTTTATACATTTATGTCCTTTAAAATTTCATTTCTTCAAAAATCTTTTGTCTAGTGAAAAGAACAAAGTAATATCCCTGCCTCTTTGCTGCAATTTAATTTAAAAATATGTAATTTGATGCTAAAGTCATTGAAAAAAAGTTTTTCGTCAATAAAAGAAGTTTGTTGTGCCATTAATCTTGACTTAGCTTACAATGTCATTCCCAACAAGAAAAATGTGATTTTCCTTTAGATTACAAATCCACATAATTATGCATAATTTAATGACCATATATTGATCATCATGATCTGAAGTGTATATTTCTATAACGGCCAAAATCTGGGAATCTTTAGAAACGTGAGGTTCTTGCCTTTCAAGAAAATGTACTGTGTTTTCTATACATCCATGGGACAGCAGTATTACTAGTATTACTATTCAAATTATCAATAGATTATTAAAACTGAAAACAATCGCTTTAAATTCGTTATAAAGAATTATATGAACGCTGAAGAATTTTGATTTTTAAAACAATCATCTAAGTCCGCAAAGAGAGTGTTATAAAATGATCTTTGAATGAGCATATCATAAAACGAAAATAAGATATACCTAAAGCATTTATGCGATTAATTATTGTTTTATACATGTAAATCTGAAGAAAAAAATTAAATCAAACTTAACAATGCATATCAACAATGACAACAAAATAATACCGTTCTCAAATACAAAACTTATTGATCGACTTTTCGTTTCATAATACACATTTAATTTTTTTTCTTAATAATTATTTTACAAAATACCTTAAGTTTAAAGTGCACTTTTTTCATTTATTCATTCGGATACTTTAATTTTACACATGGGGAGAAAAAAAATCCTTACAGAAAAGAAGTGTTTACATCTATTTCTCCAATGATCTAAAAAAAATAAGTACAGTAATTAAATTGAATTTATTTTTTTTTTTTTACTTATAACAAATGATTATAAAAAATACATATATACCAGCTGTTCCAGTGTACCCATTAACCGTCAGTTTATATTTGCTCACCTCGTCTCCAATAGAAAAGGTAGAGAAGACTGCATACGCTTTGTCACCATTGAATCTCTGCATATCTACTCGAAGTTCCTGAGATTTTTTTGATGTAAGACTGTGTAACATTTCATTTCCTTAATTTTTATGAACGGAATTTATGAATAAAAAATAATTGAAATTATCATACTATTTTGGAACATATTGTTTTTAAAATTTAAAATAATACAAAATGTTTTACAAGAGAAAGAGAGCAACACTTAATCATACTTAAATGCCAACATTCACAAGTTCTGTGGATTCAAATTATTATAATTCTGAGTTTAGGGTGGGGCTATAATCGGGGACCAAATTTAACATAATGCATATATACTGTAAAAAAAAAATTTAAAACGCTTCTTTCAAGCCATGTACTGTCAAGTACTTAAATCGATAGAAGTGCATTCCTATGTTATGTTGATTCAAGTATAATTAAATCATGACACTGCTCTGGGCTAGGGTCTGGCCACTCTATGGATCAAAATTTTCCTGAGAGTGAAGGGGGTGCCGATATTTTTTTTAATATTCTTTAGAACAGCAGTGATAAGGTTACTAAGATGACCATTGCTGGGATTCTCATTATTTACACACACCCTACCCCAACAACACCCTGCAACACCCTACCCCCACTACCCCCTCTCACCCAAGATTCTATGTATCTTAATGTTATATTCTTATGAGTGGAAGTCAAGTGCAAATGAAATAACTTTCCAAAGCTATTTGTATCAAATTTGAATCAGAGAGATATTCAATCATATAATAAAACCATTTATTGCAAAAGTAGTATGTTGTCTTATGTCTGAAAGTGTTTTGTAATTGGGTTGTATTTTCTTCTTTGTATTTAGGTCTTTCTTAGAATAGGTTTAACGTATTGATTTATGTGGTGATTTCTCAATAATTTAATTTAGTTCGTATTCTAGCCTCTGATTGGTTAATATCCAAAACACAAATTATTTCTGTATAACCTGGTTTGGTATGGGGACACACCCCCCTGACAACCAGCTGAATCATCTGTATCCATACAATCCTCTCATTTCCAGTCCTCGGGATTCATGGAAAATTCCAGATTTAATAAATGTACCAAACAATAATTCGATCTTACCACATGTAAACAAACAACAAGGCTGCTAAGCCTATGTATCAGTTTTTACCTCCCCTTGCTTCCCATCACTTCCGGTACTTCCGTTACTACGGTTGTATTATTGAGCGGCAAATTCGAACTAATAAAAAGCAACGAAATTTTACACCCATAGTTATTTAATGATTTTAAAATTAAATTATAAGGAATGACTCTAATTCTTGGCCAAATTATTCGAGTATAACCTGGTTTGGGTCAGTTTACGCTGTTTTATAATCCGCTTCGCGGATTATAAAGCGTAAACTGACCCAAACCAGGTTATCCTCGAATAATTTGGCCAAGAATTAGAGTCATTCCTAAAATGTATTCTTTAAATAATAAAAGGCTTAGTTTCATACATATATGTGCAGTGGCCTTTTGAGAGTTTTTATGTTGCTCTTTAATTGGACATTTCTCTCATTTTCGTTCAGTTGGTCGCATTTAGCGTAAATTCTAAAATTTTAGTCAGGAAAATCAAAAGGCATATATAAAAAGCTTATCTATCGTGTTTACCTTCTAAGACACTAAATCGAAGCAGTTTGCAATTACTGTAGCAAAAATAAACTCCTTATTTTAATATCTATCCAATATTCATGATCCGCTTCTCCAAAGCCTTTCTTGTATTCGGTCCAGTTACGGTAGAAGTCAACGGACCCATTAATTCGTCGCTGTATAACCTGCAAAAAACATTAAATGTTTTTTTTTCTTGCAACAGCATCAATTTAAGAAATGTTTAAAATAAGTTTATGACTACGCATATCATGAAAGTTAGCATTTCTGGTTAGAAGTGCAATTTATATGAGAGAGAGAGAGAGAGAGCGTCCATCCTCCGTTATCCGTTGTCATGTCACAATACACAGTCTTCCTCTCTTTCTGTGATATTGTGATATTGTATACACCATTTTTGTTTTGAGTGTCTGGGAACCTCTTTAGTATATCAGAACAATCTTCACCTGTAACATTTTGGTTTGTATTATATTTTATGCATATTCTTTGAATAAAAAATTATTAGAAAAAAAATGCATCATTTTCCTCTCATAGATACATGTATGATTTAAAAGAATGTAGAAGCTTACCTGTCATGGGTTCTATTACAGTATGGCATGTGCTACTGGAATTGTTTCTATCGCTCGCTTTAATACCTTTAGTTAGATTCTCTAATCTGCTCACTACATGATCCAGTGAGGCTATAGAGGAATCATTTGCTTTAAAAGAACACACATCTTCTCTCAAAGATAACTGTTCATTCTTCAAATCTAACACTGGACTTTTCCTTGGATGTTTTTGACAGTTACAACGATATCATGAATTGTCTGTCTTTGGTCAGCCTGTCCGTCGACATCTGACGGAAACTTGGTTTTAAGCGTTTTAAGTAAGTCCTGTTGTTCTGAGATAGATCTGCTTGAATTCCTGACATTGTCACTCTCTTTTTCCATTTTTTCCTTTTGAACTTTTTCAATCATTGCATTTAATTTCTCTTCCATTACACGCTGAATTCTGTCAAATTTTTGCATTATTTCTCTCTCTATATTTCTTGTTATTTGCTGTATTTCTGATTTTAAGTATTGTGTTGACAGTTTCTCAGCTTTCTGCTGTATATTAGTCTCCTGGTCATCCAAATATTGTCCAAACACTTTGTATAACGATAAAGTCAACAAGGCGACGACAAAAAGTGTCCTTTTTGAACACATTCTTTCAATTAAATCAATTTCTACTTATGTAAATTAAGCAGGATCACCTTTTGATACTGTCTATTATGGTTTCGCCGAATCTTTAAAAGTTTTAACTCTGTGTTGAAGTATAATATCCAGCAGAGTCAACACTTGAATCTACAACTCAAAGATTTGACATTCATATTTCCATTTTTATATTTACAGTCCCAGAAATTGATTTAGAAGCTCATTTTTTTTAAGATAGCAACATCTTTTAATTTTAATTGCACTTATGTTTTGAGAAGAAAAATAGATTCTGCTTCATGTAATTGGTTAGGGTTAGAGAGGATATTAATTTAGATCAGGATCTCTCAAATTTCTCTTTGTGCAGAGAAACTAAATTTAAGCTTGTAAGAAACAAACAGAAAGCACAATGTAAAATTGTTTATCAGTACCTCTTTCAACTAAGTACTGAAAGTTGATCAGGACCAGGGATGGGCACAATTACTGAAAAATGTAATCGATTAATAATCGATTACTTAGAGGAATTTTGTGTAATCGATTATTAATCGATTACACTCATTTTTAATCTGTAATCGATTGTAATCGATTACTTTGGAAGATGTAATCGATTAATAATCGATTACTTCCAAGTTTTTATCCCTTCAAATATCAAAGCAATATTTAAATGGTAAATGTTATCCACTGAAGTTTGAATGTGTTCCTTTTTAAGGTTTTATTCTGGGCAGGCTAACATTCTCACTAAATGCCCAAATGAGGGATTCCCTACCATGAAAAGTGGAGATATAATTCCTACAATAAAATACGCCAAGGAATTAATTATTCCTTTCAACCTTGGATCTGAACCTCCATATTTATTGACTTGCTGCAAAAAATTATTTAATATTTTATTGTGAATTACTTCATTAGAAGTATTTGGGCTGCCCATATGTTGACAGTACACATTAAACATTCCTGTGCATGTCTTTTTCAAAAAAATAAGTAAATTAGAACTCAAAATAGTAATAAACATGTAAATTAAATGTGTCTTTAAGTAATGAAACAAATAGCACAATTTCATTCTGTATTGAAATAAGTGTTTTGAGAGCTATTAATTGTTTTGATAATATTGTTTGTCTACAATGGAATAAAAGTTAAACACTAGGTAGTTCACGGTTTACACATTATCTGCAAATCTGGGATGTCTCAGTCAGTTAATTAGCCAATTAAGGTAAGCAATCACAGTGACACACTCCCTCTCTTACAGACACTTATGACCTCTCACTAATATAAAAGCAACATTACAATTTTCAATGAAAATATGAGAATGATTTTGCAAATTTTAAAATTACTAAAACACAAGTTTGAAGTTGTTTAAACATTTTCAGAAATGAATAAGTATTTCCATCTTCTTCTTTTTTTTTGAGTACAATGTAGCTTATTTACCAGATTTAATATTTATATTTAATACAGCACTTAAATCTGTTTTTGCTATTTATAATTTTCTTTTACAAGACAAAGTTTTTCAACATCTGAAATATGAAAAAGGACATGCAGCAAGAGGACGATGGGTCAAATGTAAAATGCACACGAAAAATCTGTATATTTTATTAATGAATGGTTGAAATACACTTCTGAATTATTTAATACTAGGCCAGTAGGTCTATATTTCAAAATTTATTGAGAACATTATTTAACTTATGATAATAAAAGTTAGGAAATCCAAACATTACAATAGGTGGTTTATATTTGATATTTATGTGTGACTAACTGGAAATAATTCTCCAAAATAACATCCATTTATGTATAAAATAATCAAAAGTAATCAAAAAAGTAATTATAATTACATTGAAAATTTTAGCTGTAATCGATTAAATTACGATTACAAGTAATCGAAAATCTCTTCGATTACAGATTACTGTCGATTACTTGGAAAAAAGTAATCATTACAATCGATTACGATTACTCGATTACGATTATCCCATCCCTGATCAGGACACCTACAATTTTATTAAATCATCATTAGGGCAAGCGTAGCGAACTTTATAGATTAACGTGTAAGAACAGAGAAAATTCGAAGTGATTTTTTTGTTTGCAAGTTCCCTTTTTCTCTTAAAAAAAACAACTTTGAACCTTTCGTTAAATGCAATTTTAGATTCCGTTTTAGAAATACAACTAACATACTGTGTATGGAAAAATTAGATAGATAGATAGATAGATAGATAGATAGATAGATAGATAGATAGATAGATAGATAACTTCCTGAAGAGCCTAACACGGCGAAAGTGCTTGCAGTAAATATTTTGTGATTTTTTTTTTTTTTTTTTTTTTTTTTGATTTTTATTTTTAATACACCCAACAAAAATGTACCGGTTCTTCATATTGTTTTTGAAATTTATATATATATATATATATATATATATATATATATATATATATATATATATATATATATATATATATATATATATATATATATGAAAGATGGCGGAAGGAAAGATGGTCGAAAGAAAATTTAAGAGAAAAATCCCCATAGACCTTACGGTGAAAAAATTACTTTTCGCTTTTGTTTTTCACCAAAGTTAATTAATGACAACAATCAACTTTGGACTTGGGGATTGTGTCACACCTTGTAAAATGCGTGCACGAGTCGTACTATTTCCGTCTCGGGGTTGTTAAGGAAGACTTGTTTTAGGGCAATATTTCATCCGTCGGAAGCTAACATTAGCAATGCCCAGTAACTTTTAGGAGTCAAATAATTGTCAGTTTTTTATGTTCATTGCGTAAGGTATCACCAACTCTTCCCATAACACCAAACATTTCTCAAATCGTATGAAAATTACGTTTTGTATGAATGTTTAAAATTTCAGAGTTCATACAGTGTTTTCCATCTTTCCGAGGAAAAGATGAGAAAGTGCACAGTGGGAAATAAAAAGCAGATAATACAGGTATGAAAGACCCAAATTGATTTTGGATTATAACTTAGATTAACGTTTCTTATTTTCATCTGATATTTCAGAGTATTCATTCGCCATTGTTGAAACACGGAAGAATATTGACAAGAGATATTAAATGCAAGATTTGTCTTCCTTTTCTGATCGAAGAGTTTCCGGCGTCCATCTGTCGTGTGTCGTCTGTAAACTTTTCACATTTTCGTTTTCTTCACAAGAACCACTTCGTCAATTTCAACTAAACTTGCCACAAAGCATCCTTGGGTGAAGGGATTCAAGTTCGTTCAAATGAAGGGCAATGTCCTCTTTCAAGGGGAGATAATTAAGAATTAATGAAAATTTCATGGCATATTTTAAAAATCTTCTTCTCAAGAACCCATGGGCTAGAAAAGATTAAACTTGTGTGAAAGCTTTTTTACATAGTTAAGATTCAAGTTTGTTCAAATTGACACACCGGTGGTAGTTTGGGGCTTGATAGAACATTCTATTATAAAATGATATTGTCCTAAGGACCAGGTTTAACCACAGGTACTTATGGATAGGACACCCCCCCCCCCCCCCCCCCCGGAATATACCCTCGGGTCAATAAATAATTTTATGTCTTTTTTTCATAAAGTATTCTTCTAGTACACATTTACAATGTATTCCATATAAAAAATAATAAAAAATAAACGCAGAATTAACGTTTTTATAAAACATCATACCCGCGGTATAATAAAATTTAATGTCAAACTTAACGTACAAAACAGTGTATCTCACAACATCGAAACCTTGTATTTAATCTACATGTATCATTCCCCTACATAAGCGGCAATATAACCTTTACCAGTTACTGTATTGGAACCATCTAAGAAGGAAAACTATTAAATTCATTCATTTGTGTCGCAGTACAACTCTCACTTTGCGTAAACTTCGGCAAAATTAAGACTTAATTGAATGTTCGTAGAAAAACGATGATAGAAACAAACTTTTTTTCTTTTTCTCTTTGGTAACACTATTCGTGAGTTTGCTATTTATGATGTCGATATTTCTCTCCACTAGTTCGGCTAAAAGTTGAATTTCGCTAGAATCAAATCTCCCCACCCACCCCCCCACCCCCGATTTCTATTACATTTCAATTTAATTCCTTTCGTCATTGCAACACAATTTTCTTGAAATGTCGTTTCTTTATGTTATACAAGACGCTCACATACTTGGTAAAATGGCGTAATCTAAATTTTGAGTAAACTACGTAAATCCAACTCCAGACTCAATTTTCCCGGGGGGAAGGGGGGGGGGAGGGAGGATTCTACGCTGTGTAATAGTTATAGAGTGCGATTTCCCCCACAGCCAATTTTCCCCCAATAAAATTTCATGGCTATACTAATGTATGAGGGGGAGGGGCGACACATTGTTAAAAGTGTCTCTTGTTCAAAATAGCAACCAATTCCACTGAAATATACTAAATATGAAAATTAAACAATTTAAATCTCATTTTTTCAGTAACTGTCGAATCAATTCTTTTGAAGCATTAAAATCTGATTCATTTCATCTTGAAACTAGTTTCTGAAAAAAAGTTAGTACAATGTAATCGGTTGGACAATTTTTTAATGTATCCACGGAAACAAAGAGGACTTATATTTTAAGTGGTCTTTCATCCAATTGTATTTCAAACTACATTATACATAAAATTGTGTCCTCCAAGATTCTGGTGTTTAAATATCCAAAATGGCTGCCGTTGCCATAGAACTAAAATTGGGTCATCGTTTTTTAAGAATATGAATCTCTGGGGACATACTTATGCTTGGAATGCAAGAGAATTGTTTCTCGCATGGTTTTGTTCTTGGTTTTGGCTTTTGTTTTTCTTTTTTTCCTCTACATGAAGAACTACTCGATTCAAATACTCTCAATATGCTACATGTATGTGGAACTCATCAATAATATAATTTATTTAGAACTTTTTCACAAAATCTTTCTAAAAAGGATCGATCCATAGGTAAAATACTCGGCTTTTAGAGGGCAAACAAATTGTCAAATCACTTAGGGTAGCCTATTTAAACTTCGTGAACAAACAGAGAGAGGGTGTTGAGACATTGAGTCTTACGATTTTATGAGTTGCTAATTTTACAATTCCCTATGAGTTAAAATTTTAGGTTGAGACTTAATGATTTGAACTATATATTTTAAGATTTGATACTGAAGTTGTCCTTCTTGAATCGAAAACATTCATATTTCCATAAAAAAAAAATCATTTGACTTTCATATAAACTTTAAGCCAAAATATTGTCGATATGATTTAAGCATTGATAAAAGAGGGGAAATCCTACTCTTGGAAAGAAAGGATGGAAATATAGTCCTAGTGTGAGATTTTCCCTTGGGAAGAAAAGCTGGCTACTGAGTATTGGGGAAATCCAACTCTACAACATCGCTTAATTGCATCAAAATACACATTGCATGGATATGCCTATATACATTTATAGGTTTATTCCTGAAGTAATGTCTTCTCATATACCCAAATAACTATTGAAGACATCTGCAATATTCTGTTTATATTCAACCGAAAACATGATGAATTTTATTTCAATTTTAAAACCATGAATCATGTCTAATATATCAGATACTTAAACAACTTCTCAAATCATTCGTGACAAGTTGATCATTCTGCATTGTCATCATATTAGAACATAATTGATTACATTTTTTAATTTAAAAATCTAGGTTGATTGACAAATGCACAGAATATACGGGATACGTTTTGCATCGAAAATAGTTACACAATAACGTTTGCGGTACTAAACGGTGATTTTATAATTTTTTCACAGATTAAAGAAAATAAGTATGGACTGGGCACTGAAGCTCCGTATAAACAGTAATTAAAACTTTTTTTTCTATTTTATAGTAAAGTATATACTGGCATAAGCATCGGAGCACCCCTTCCCCCTGTTCCAATGGAGTTGCATGTGTATGTATATGCGTTAATCTTGTGAATGAAATAACACTAAGAACTAGATGTTCATGATTTTTGACGATATTTTTTGGCTCAAAATGATTTTTGGTTGAAGAATTCAATGAACCTACTTGTAAGCCCAACAGCAGCATGCCTATCATTTGTTATACGACTGGCATATATAGGCAACAGGTTCCCTAGTTCTAATGTATCCAGCCCCACGAAAGTTCTGAAATAATACAACACAAGTACCTGGCAGAAAAAGATAACTGAAGACTAAAAATGGAATCATCAAATACTGAAGACAAGTAACTACATGTATAAATTTTAACAAATACATTTAATGTATTGAATAAAAACGCTCACATTTATTAATAGCACATTATAGAAGTCCGTCCAAGACGGAAATGTGGGTGAATGTTTCAGCATGGACTGATGGCTGCTATTTTTATCTCTAGTTTTCAGTCCGATTTAAATCAACGCTTTAAGACCACATAACCGGTAGAGTAGCCTTTCCGTCCTAAAATTCCCCTGGAAAACTGGCTCTAGAGTAGGATTTCCTCCCGCAAATCTGGTTCTAGAGAAGGATTTTCCCACGGAAATCCAACATTAAATTCTCAACATTAAATACTCAAATAATAGTATGTGGAACCTTTAATAATATAAATTTTATAATTTTCTCACACACTCTTTGTAAAAAGGATCGAACCTTAGATAATATATTGGGTCTTTTAGAGTACAAACAAATTGTCAAATCCTTAAAGGTGTCCTGTCATACATTTTAAAATTCGTGAACAAACAGGCGCCTAGAGAGTGTGTTGAGACATCTAGACTTACGATTTTTGAGTGACTAAATTTACAATTTCCTATGAATTAAAATTTTTGGTTGAGACTCAATGATTAAAAATTTTATACTAAATTTGACAATTCTTGAGTAGAAAACACTCATATCTCCATTTCAAAATCAACTGACTTTCAAATAAACTTTAGCCAAAAAATTTCCATATGATTTAAGCATTGATAAAAGAGGGAAAATCCTACTCGAAGAAAGAAAGAGGGGTGTGGCTCAATTGTGAGATTTCCCCTCAGTGGGAAATCCTACTCTAGAGTACAGATTCCGGAGGGAAAGCTGGCTATGGGGGAAATCTTACTCTACAACACTAGTATAACATAGCAAGATGACCTTATTATCACTTTACCAACGTAAAACCTTTCTGTTGGTTTATTATTAAAAAGAGTAAAACATGTATAGGACTTTTTTTTGAATTTTTAAAAAGTCTTCAAGAACAAAGCTTTAATTTTAGTCAATCAAATATAAAAATTCTATACTCTTTTCTTTGCAATTTGAAATTTAATCCTTACCTGCATAAGTGTTCCAATGCCATATATTCATGTACTTAAAAAATGTTTTGAAATAAACACAATTAATTACTTGATTTAAAAAGTGTGAAATGTAAATGTCTATATATTTGATTTGATCCCCTTCCATGATGAATGGTCATTCTACTTAAATATATGACATCATAACAAATACATAAAGCAATTTAAAACAATATCTGAGGAAACATAGAATAATCATCTAAATTAGAATTTAAGCACAAAAGTCCCTTTTGAACACAGTACAAAAATGTTTGTAAAAAAACATCAGGGCAAAATGGATATATTAACTTCTTGGGTGCTTCTTTTCTTTTGATTTGCAACATTAAAAGCTAAGAAAATCCACTTCATGTCCACTTTACTGTCTAGGACGAATCATGAACCTTATGTTCTTCAATGCAATGTTGGAATTTTTCCAGTTGTACCAGACCACATATTTCCACCCTGTTTTCTCATAATTTATATATTCTCCGTTAGGATTTGTATAGAAACAAGCTTTAAACCACCAGGCAGATTTCCAGTAGGTGGCGCAGTCGCCGCTGTCCTTGTCATTGTCCTGGTCTTTCGTTGAAAACTTCATGCCATTACTGTAAGTCATGCTGTTTCCTGCAAACAGTTAAGTAAAGAAACACAAATAAATTATGCATTTGCAGTTAGAAAGCTTTGTTTTAGCTATATGACACTGCATTTGTCATAGAAGATTTGATGATTACAGGATGCATACAGTATTTACTCTATTTCTTAGCGTGGATTAAGCGTTTCCCTAAGATACAATTATCAGTTCATACATTTATGTCCTTTAAGATTACATTTCTTCAAAAATCTTTTGTCTAGTGTAAAGAACAAAGTATTTTTCCTGCCTCTATGTTGCAATTTAATAAAAAATACAAAAATGTAAATAAATGATAAAGCCATGGGAAAAAGAAGTTTGTTGTGCCATTAATCTTGACTTAGCTTGCAAACAATGTCATTTCAAGCTAGAAAAATGTTATTTTCCTTAAAATAACAAATCAACACAATCATAGATTTTATTGACCATTTATTGATCATCACGTATGCTAAGATCAGAAGTGAAAATTTCTATAACGGCCAAAAATTGGAAATCTTTAGAAATATGCAGTTCTTGCCTTTCAAGAAAAAACATTGTGCTTTCATAAACACCAATGAGACAACGATATTAATATTTAAATTATTAATAAAACATTAAAATTGAAAACAATCGCTTTAAATTCGTTATAAAGAATTTTATGTACACTTAAGAATATCAATTTTTCAAATAATTATCTAAGCATGGCAATGACAGTGTTATGCAATGAACTTTATATGAGAACATTATGAAACGAAAATAAGATATACTAAAAATCATTTATGCGATTAATTTTTGGTTTGATACATGGAAATCTTAAAAAGATTTTTTTAGACCAAACATATGCTTATGGATAATTATAACAATGCATGTCAACTACGACAACAAAATAATACCATGTCTTACACCTTTTCAAATACAAATTGACTGGCTTTTCTTTTCATGAAGCACATTTAAATTTATTTACTAAATAATTATTTTACAAAATACCTTAGGTATAAAAATGCACTTTTTTCATTTAATCATTCGGGTACTTTGAATTTTGCTGATGGTAAGAAAAATTTTCTCACCGAAAAGAAGTGTTTCAGCTATTTCTCCAATGATTTAAAAAGAAAAAAACCTTGTAATTACATTTAATTTGATGTTTTTACTGATAAGAAATGATTATAATAAATACATATATACCAGCTGTTCCTGAGTATCCATTAACCGTCAGTGTATATTTGCTCGCCTCGTCTCCAATAGAAAAGGTAGAGAAGATTGCGTACGCTTTGTCACCATTGAATCTCTGCATATCTACTCGAAGTTCCTGAGATTTTTTTGATGTAAGACTGTGTAACATTTCATTTCCTAAATATATATGAACGGAATTTATAAATAAAAAAATAATTGAAAATCATCGTACTATTTTGTAACATATTATTTTCAAAATTTATAATAATACAAAATGCTTTACAAGAGTAATAGAGCAACACTTAATCATACTTAAATGCAAACATTCACAAGTTCTGTGGATTCAAATTATTATAATTCTGAGTTTAGGGTGGGGCTATAATCGGGGACCAAATTTTACATAATGCATATATACTGTAAAAAATTTTAAAACACTTCTCTCATGTCATGTACTGTCAAGTACTTAAATCGATAGAAATGCATTCCTATGTTATGTTGATTCAAGTATAATTAAATCATGACACTGCTCTGGGTTAGGGTCTGGCCACTCTATGGATAAAAATTTTCCTGAGAGTGAAGAGGGTGTCGATATTTTTTTTAATATTCTTTAGAACAGCAGTGATAAGGTTACTAAGATGACCATTGCCGGGATTCTCATTATTTACACACACCCTACCCCCACAACACCCTACCCCAACTATCCCCGCTCACCCAAGATTCTATGTACCTTAATGTTATGTTCTTATGAGTGGAAGTCAAGTGCAAATGAAATAACTTTCCAAAGTTATTCGTATCAAATTTGAATTTCCCAATTTAATTTTAGTCTAATTTGGAGAAAATAAATCCTTACATTCACCTGTAAGGTCACGTGCAGGTAAATTTTCTACAATGTTGGATCTTAGCCAATCAGAGAGATATTCAATCAATGACATATAATAAAACCATATAATTTAATTTTGTTTGTATTCTAGCCTCTGATTGTTTAGTATCCAAAAAGGAACACAAATTATTTCTGTATAACCTGGTTTGGTATGGGGACACCCCCCCCCCCCCCCCCCGACAACCAGCTGAATCATCTGTATCCATACAATCCTCTCATTTCCAGTCCTCGGAATTCATGGAAAATTCCAGATTGTAAATGTACCTTTAACTTCAAACAATAATTCGATCTTACCACATGTAAACAAACAACAAGGCTGCTAGGCCTATGTATCAGTTTTTACCTCCCCTTGCTTCCCATTACTTCCGTTACTACGGTTGTATTATTGAGCGGCAAATTTAAACCAATAAAAAGCAATGAAATTTTACACCCATAGTTATTTAATGGTTTTAAAATTAAATTATAAGGAATGACTCTAATTCTTGGCCAAATTATTCGAGTATAACCTGGTTTGGGTCAGTTTACGCTGTTTTATAATCCGCGAATCTGAAAGTGTTTTGTAATTGGGTTGTATTTTCTTCTTTGTATTTAGGTCTTTCTTAGAACAGGTTGAACGTATTGATTTATGTGGTGATTTCTCAATGTATTCTTTAAATAATAAAAGGCTTAGTTTCATACATATATGTGCAGTGGCCTTTTGAGAGTTTTTGCTCTTTAATTGGACATTTCTCTCATTTTCATTCAGTTGGTCGCATTTAGCGTATATTTTAAAATTTTAGTCAGGAAAATCAAAAGGCATATATAAAAAGCTTATCTATCATGTTCACCTTTTAAGACACTAAATCAAAGAAGTTTGCAATTACTGTAGCAAAAATAAACTGTTTATTTTAATACCTATCCAATATTCATGATACGCTTCTCCAAAGCCTTTCTTGTATTCGGTCCAGTTACGGTAGAAGTCAACGGACCCATTAATTCGTCGCTGTATAACCTGCAAAAACATTGAATGTTTTTTCTTGCAACAACATCAATTTAAGAAATGTTTAAAATAAGTTTATGACTACGCATATCATGAAAGTTAGCATTTCTGGTTAGAAGTACAAAAAAATATGAGAGAGAGAGACCGTCCATCCTCCCTTATCCGTTGTCATGTCACAATACACAGACTTCCTCTCTTTCTGTGATATTGTGATGTTGTATACACCATTTTTGTTTTGAGTGTCTGGGAACCTCTTAAGTATATCAGAACAATCTTCACCTGTAATATTTTGGTTTTTATTACATTCTATGCATATTCTTTGAATAAAAATTTATAAGAAAAAAATGTATCATTTTCCTCTCATAGATATATTTTAAAAGAATGTAGAAGTTTACCTGTCATGGGTTCTATTACGGTATCGCGTGTGCTATTGGAATTGTTTCTGTCGCTCGCTTTAATACCTTTAGTTAGATTCTCTAATCTGCTTACTAAATGATCCAGTGAGGCTATAGAGGAATCATTTGCTTGCAAAGAACACATATCTTCTCTCAAAGATAACTGCCCATTCTTCAAATCTAACAAAAGACTTTTTATGTTCTCAATATTCATTACGAACATTTCCTTCTTCAATTTTTCATTCTCAAATGAATAAGTTAAATTGGAAATAATTTCCTTGATATGATGAAAATCTTCAATATTTGCATTAATTGTCGAAAGTTTCTCCATCAGCTTATTTGTCGAGTCTGTATGATTTTGCATTCCAAACATCGAGGTAATCGAAAAGAGCTCTTTTTGTAATATTTCCTGTGACCTTTTGAGGCTACTTATATTCTCAAAGACAAAGCCTATATCAGCTATATCGGATATGTTAACATTCAGCTGCTCACTAGCGATGTCTAATTTTCCAGGTAGATCATGGACGACTTTCATTAGTTTATCAATTGAGTCCCATTTCATTGTAGGGCTTGATTCCGCTTTACATGATAGGTTAGTCTGAACAGAGACCAATTCTTTCTGTACGTGTTGCTGCCCGGCTTTTATATCCAGTATGCTTTCATTGACATTCCTAAGGAAATCGGCCACCTTAGCTGTTTCTAATTTCTCTTTCCCAATTTCAGTGGTAAGGTTATCCAGAGATCTTACGATTCTGTCGACATTCTGGACTTTTCCTTGGATGTTTTTGACAGTAACACCTATATCACGAATTGTCTGTCTTTGGTCATCCCGTCCCTTGACATCTGACGGAAACTTAGTTTTAAGCGTTTTAAGTAAATCCTGTTGTTCTAAGATAGATCTGCTTAAATTTCTGACAATGTCACTCTCTTTTTCCATTTTTTCCTTTTGAACTTTTTCAATCATTGCATTCAATTTCTCTTCCATTACACGCTGAATTCCGTCAAATTTTAGCATTACCTTTCTCTCTATATTTCGTGTTATGTGTTGTATTTCTGACTTTAAGTATTGTGTCGCCAGCTTCTCAGCTTTCTGCTGTATATTAGTCTCCTGGTCATCCAGCCACTGTCCGAACACTTGGTATAACGATGAAGTCCACAAGGCGACGACAAAAAGTGTCCTTTTGGAACACATTCTACCAAATTCAACCAGCTTCATGTAAATCAAAAAAGATCACTTTTGATACTCTGTCATACATGTATGATTTCACAGCTTACTTAACATTAGTAACTCTTTGGTTGAAGTAGATGTCCAAAGTCAACACTTGTTGGCAAGTAGTCTTAAAAATCACTTACACTGTTTCTGACACAACTACATTGACACAATTACGCTACCCCAGTTTCACATCCGATTTTGAAATAGAAACAAGTCTTGGGCGTTGCAAAACAGAGCATCTTTTTGGAACGCGATAGTATTCATTGAAAGCAATATCACAAGTTTTGATTTGATACATTATTAAATCAAGTATTAAGATTGTTATTGATACGTTTTACTGCTGTTGACCATGACATGGTCACCTTTTCATTTGGCCAACTTCACTGTATTAAGTACATGTAATACTATGAGACTTCCTATATAAAAGTATTTTATGCAGAATAATGTACTCAAAATGATACCTATAAGAAATGGGTAATAAACACAAGAAATGATTCAAAAAAAACTTTTTAACTGAAATCACATGCACACATACACAATTTTTTTTCGCAAACAATTTTTATTAATAAACTACCAAGGGGATGATTTGACTATACTCCAGAAGTAGGAGGGGGCAATAGGCCCTTCAATGAACATATTTAACAGTAAAAGGATATGTTTGGAAAAAATTGGGGGTTCGGGGGTGGGGGGAAGCCCCCCCCCCCCCTGGCTTTTCCATTGTCACCTCTAATAGAAGATATTGAAGTTTGCTCTGTCAATTAATCCTACTGTGAAGACTTTAATATCCTATTCATTAATATGAATAAAATATTGGTTAAAATATTTGGCTACTTGCAGTGTTAATCTACATTTTATAAGTGGCCACGAAATGATAATCTTTACTATTTGAAGTAATTTTTATGTAACAGATGTTGTCATTTGTTAATTATATAGTGAAATTACAAGTATAAGTGTAAAAGCATAAACAGTACGGGAGATGGGCGAAGAAGACGTGCAGAATGCCCATAGCTTCAGATGTACATAATAATCATATTCAATTTGTGAATTTAGTATTTTAAGTACGGTTCTCATAATCGAAATTTATGAAATTGTGACAAACTCTTCTGAGGAAAATTTTCTCGGCAAAACTTATTTTAAAAAAAAAAGATATTCTTGGGGTTCGAACGCTATGCAATAAAAATCCTGAGTATCAATTTCTTTTGAGATTAACGCAAAAACCAGTACGCTAAACAACTCCTGATGACTAGTGGCATTTAAATCACGTTTTTTATTACTCTTGACTAAATGGGCTTCAAGTATTTTCTCGGAAAAATAAGAATGTTGTGTCAAAAAAAAAGCGTATTTCTAAGGTATTTGGGTCTTTATCCATGTTTTTGTTAACCAAAAAATGTACACAAACTTTGAGGATAAACTTTCAAAGAAAAAAATGGAGCCAGGACCCAATCATATGACGAAATTGTTATGAGAAAATGGTCCTTTTTTGCCCTCTATGGTGTGTGTTCGCTATTTCATAGGCAAATAATTTCTATCTTCGTGAGATTTGTGCAAATTGTGGAGATTTTACATAAAGTATACTCTAATGTTAGATGAAATATCAAAGAATTTTTTTGTTATAATTGAGATTTAATTTTCACCTCCATATTTGTCGCAACAGAGGCATTTTGCTCTCCTTGTTCGCACCTCCTCTTTAGCACTAGAAAAAGAGGTAGTGGTTTTCTCTTTCATGACAAGCAATAAGAATTGATTCCTTGTTTTTTTGTTTTTATAAAAAACACAGCAAATCCTTCCACTGCCTATCCAAAATCCATGGACCCTTTTCTTTATAACAAATCCTGTTAAGTGGTAGCACTCGTCAAAATTATCCAAACCATTCGTTCCTCACTGAAAGTCTGAAGAAGGTATGGAGTGTACTTTTTTTGCATATCTAGTTTCCAGTCTTGATTCTGTTAACACTGTACTCACTCACTGACGGGTTTAGAGTGGGTCCGGGGGGGGGGGGGGGTCCTCCATTTGTGACTGAAAATATACATATTAAGATTACGAAATCATTTTTTGTTACATATTGCATTTATTATTATATATTCTTTTATTATATTAACCTGTCAGGCCCCCTTTTTTCAAGAACTCTGGATCCGCAACTGGTACTGCTCCGAATCTATACCTGTCCAAAAAGTCCTATAGGACAATAAAGTAAATAATTCAGTAATTTGAAATGTTAAGAAATTTAACAGTAATATCAGGTTGTAAATTTTGAATTTACTAGGGGGAGGTAAATGCAAAATTATCATGTTGTAAATTTTGCATTTACCTCCCCCTAGTAAATTCAAAATTTACAACATGATGGTAAAATTAAAGATCAAACGAGTAAATTAAGTAAATGAAAGAGGAAACAAAAGTTCAAAATATAATTTGTAAATCATTAAATTTTGCGACCTGTTATGATCAGTATGTTGCTCCGATTTTAACCTGCTTACATTCCACTTGAGAACTTTTACTTTTCTTCCGTTTTTCCTTCTAAATTTTATTGATCAGTGTATCACTTTTTGTCCTTAACCCGCTGAATTCTTTCAGAATATTGATTAATATTTCTACTGTGTGTTATTTGCTGTATTTTGTACTTAAGAATTTTGTTGCTAGTTTCTCTGACTGCCTTATTTTGTATATTTATTTGTTTTCTGGACATCCAGCATGTCCACACAGAGTGTGATAGCGAGGAAAAGCACCATCCCTCTGGAACTATGCTGTAATATCTGAACAGCTTCTCTAGAAAAGAAAACCAAAGTTGTTGTTTTTTTTTTTTTTTTTTTTTTTTTTTTTTTTTTTTTTTTTTTTTTTTTTTTATGTCGTCTCATGTATTTGTAACAGCACGAGTATTACTCTGCAATTACTCTCGATGTGAATAAGATGTCGTAAAGAGCCCACACTTCACTGGAAAATTGGTATTTAAGCATTTCATACTTATTTGTTTCAAATGTTTACTTACATTGTTGACAACTCTTAATTAGCATGTAGTATAAAACAAAAACTCTCCGTTCAAGTACAAGCAGTCTTCTCTTGATATCTTACAAAAATTAACTGATTTCGAGTCATCCTTGACAACTCACATCCTTGTTGCATACGGTCTTTTTCAACATTCTCTCTCTCTCTCTCTTTCTCTCTCTGTTTTGTTTATTTTTTATTTTATTGTAAGTTGTATGTACATGTACTTTCAGGTAAACTCTTATCTTTGTTGTGTAATAAGAATTAACGTTGTGTATGTACTTTTCTTTCTACCAGTAAATTCAAGTTTTAGAACATGACACCCCTTATACAATGTATTTCTGGGTTCATATTCAGCTTTCAGGCGAAATAATTTACACAATATACCAACTCAAGAGTATTCTTCTGAATATTAAATAAATTCTGAAGAATTTTCAACTTGATGCTTGTGTTCGAATTCATTTTCATTTTGGTGTATTATACTGGTTGCAAAACCTATATTAGTTTGATATACTTTCAACGTTCTGTTCAAAGGAAGAGAACTCTGAAATACCTGCTTCGTTCTAATTCACGTATATTTCTAATTTAATATAGAAAAACATGTATATATGAAATAAAGGATTCATACAAACTTTAATTTAAATGCAGTTTCAATGTTCTCGATTCAAGCGTGGTGTTAAAAAGATATCTTTTATCAACGTTTTGGTATGAAATTCTGGGCTTGACAAACAGGGGCAGATCTAGAGGAAGTCTGGAGGAGGGGGGGGGGGGTCCGGAACCCATCCACTCCACCCCCACCGCCCAGATAAAAATAATCCTGGATCCGCCTCTGACCAATTTGAAATCAATGTTTATTCAGTGTTTAATGCATCCCGGGTGGACTTCTCTATACATATATTATAGTTCAAATGTTAGTGTATGCGATTTTGAGATGAGAAAGTACATCTTTATTATTTTTTCAAAGAAAAATATAATTATTTTTCTTAAATCTTATCATTTAAATAGTCGCCCGCGTGGCACAGTGGTTTTCTAGAGCGTCTGCTCTAGAATCGAGAAGTAAGGAGTTGATCTTTACGTCGCGGGTTCGAATCCGCTGCGGAACTTAGAGACCGGTTCTTCCGATGAGACCGTATAAACCGAGGTCCCGTGTCGCAGTAGGTGTTGGCACGAAAAAGAACCCTCACTGCTCAATAGCCCTAAGTGCTGAGTATAGGTATAAATTTGCAGCCCTCCAACAGCAAGTGGTGGCGTCTCCATATGAGTGAAAAATTCTCGAGAGGGACGTTAAACAACAAAATTCTCGAGAGGGACGTTAAACAACAAACAAACACAGGCCCGTAGCAACGGTTTCGAAAGTGAGGGGAGTACAACTTTCAAAAATAAATCTTACAAGCAAAAAAAACCTAAAGTGACCAAAAGTGTGGGGGAGGGGGGGGGGGGGGGGGGCAACTTCCTAAATTTACCAGCATCTAAAGGATGCTGGTAAAGTATTTTACTATAGCAAAATACTATACTTGGAAAAAAGTCCCCCCCCCTTGCGTTCTACCCGCCTGAAACAGACAAATATCATTTAAATATATACTATATATTAAACTTCAATCACGTTCATGTTTTAAATAATTATATATTAAAGTTTCTGATGAACAAAAAAGAAATCCATATGACCTACTAACCTGTATTTCATATGTAATCAAAATATATTTTAATAATTGGTGATAGCTGATTTTTACACATGCACTGAAATAAATGATAACGAAAAAGGACAGTCTTTTTTTCTTTAGAAGAAATATCTTCGTTGTCAGGGACAAGCATGTGAATGAAGTCACACAATACTTATTATATGTGCAGTGATGATATTAATCCGTCTCAAAACATATACATAAAAAATTTATGCCTGTATTATAAGACTATAACAGTTTTACTGTGTATTTTATTTTGTCTTAGTATGTTTCCTTGGCGACAATTTACCGGTATGGCAACATCAAGTTTTCTTGTTTGCCATGTAGAGAGCTATGAGATAATGCTGCTGTGAGCCTTTAGACCGCAGTGTATTGGCTGCATGCTCAGCTTGCGACATTGCTAATCGGGTTCTAATAAGAAAATTATTTATGATCACATAATATTGCTCCCTAAAATTTCATTGTTTCAAACTCAGAAACAAGATTCTACAGTTATCGCATCAGTAGCATGCAAAGAAATCAAACAAAACGAAATAAAAGGAATACTTCTTTTTCTTAATATATAATTTTAAAAATTCATAACTATCGTAGGGACTTGATTACACAAGTCATGTCAGAGTTAAGAATACTAGTATTCTTTTTTGTGTCTTTGGTAATAAAAAAAGTAAGGAGTCCATTAACCTGCTGGCTTACACGGACCATCACGTGATCAGTGTTCCACGAGCATGTCCCAGGTTTCCAATTTGGTAAGGTGAAACTACACAAAAGCTTGCATAAACAAAATATTCTTTCAGTCAAGGATAGCTAAATAGCATCAGTCACCACGTCAAAAGCGATAAGGTTATCAGTTTAACAGGTGAAACTGTGAGATTTAATGACTATCAGCATGATACTATGAATAATACGAGAAGACTTTTATGTAGGTATGTAAATGTGAACATGCTGCATTAAAGACCTTTTGAGATAATGAAAAATTCAGTGGGTATATAAAAAGAGTGTGACCCCCCCCCCCCCCCGATTTATTTAATTTTTTTCAAGTTGTTTCGGTACGTTGAACAGATATAGAGCAGTGGAGCGTAAATCATTTGGTATCACACTACCTAAATAAGAATAAAACCCCAAAGTGACTCCATATATTTATTCCTCTTTAAATAGAAATAGATATACAATGATAATGTACAATTGGCATTGCTGATCACAGTTTAATGTGACGTTTACTATAAATAGATTTCCTCGGGTGACGATTTGTATCTGATTGACCTAGAGTCATTTTTAAGATCAAATAACCCTTGTAGTTTGTTACGCCAAAATTAAATGATTAAAATCAGTTATCACATTACAATGCACAGATTATCGAATATTAATTTGTGTGTGGTCTTCACTATATGGGTACGGTATTTAAAGTCTTCGACATATTTGTCATTCATTACATAACATACACCTGAATGTCTACCTATCCAAATAAGCTTTACGTAACTGTTGTCGGGTCTTACACTACAGTATTTTGTACTTGGCTGTGTTCAGTCACCGACAGTCTATTAATATCTCTTCGTACCTGGGACACAGAATCTATCGTATCGTACACATCATCGCTCTTCTTTGAGTCCCGGACTTTCTCCCCAAGGCTGTCCTCTCTGTTCTCGGAGTGAATTATAGCGGTGGTGGTGACTTTCTCGTTTTCATATTCGCGGTAAAAAGCTTGAGGGTATTGATGTATATCTACAAAACCTGAATTGTACTTCTCGTTATTGTACATGTTAATATTTCCCAAACCAATCACAGCAGTTTCGTCTGGATCGTTCAGATATGGATCATCGCTGGTGATATCGTCACCATGGTGATCTTTCTCAAACTGAAAGTCTTTAAGTTCCCGGATGGACGAATACCCTGTATCTTGAGATCCTCCATACACACTAGCATCTTCTGACGTTATTTCCATATTTTCAGACAAATCAACTTCTTCAAAACCTTTGTCTTTTGCCTTCTTGTTGACCTTTGCATAATGATATTGTTCTTCTTTTGGTGCTTTGGATGTTGCAGTATTATCGTCGGCTTCTCTTTGGTCATTTTCTTCATTTTCTGGTTCGGAAATAGAGTTATAAATGCCTTCATCTGCGATGATCTTTTCGATGTGGACATCTCTTGTATCGTTCCGATGACAGCGCTGATTTCTGTCAGTTTTATGGAGAACACCAATGTCTTTTGTATTCATGTTAATGTCTGTCAACTCAGGTTTTGACCATCCATGACAAATGTCTGTGCAATTGTGGTTTCTAAAGAACCTAGTTATCCCCTCCATTGCCATGTCCCTTGGACCAAAATCCTTATTAATAGAATGAATAAGAGGCACTGTGAGTCGGTAACTTCCATCAAGTTTAACGCCTTTCAGTCCGTGTAACAGATACTGGCCCCTGCTGGTGTGGTAAGAGAAATGTGCTAACGAGTCCATGATGGCATCGGAATATTTATCAAAGTTTTGAAATTGTCCATGTAAGTAAGGTTCCACGACAATGTGCTCGCCACTGGTTAGAGTCCTGTGGTTATAATCCTTAAATTGCATCATGAATTCATTCCACTGAGTATACCCTGAAAATTTGGCTTCATACTCGTCCACGAACTCAATATCCAATTCAAGTTCCTCGTCCACAACTCGATCAAAACGAGCCAGGACATTTCTGGAGATACCCGACCTGGCGAAGTAAAATCCCCAATAGTCGTCCGCAGCTGGACGTTCCCTACGAACCTTGACGATCACGTCCCTGTTACAACCGTCATCTTTTCCTATCGGAAGCAAGGTGCCCGCAAATATTAGGAAACGTTTCGTCCGATACTTAGGCTCGAAGTCAAAATTCACATACTTTACAAACCTGTCCTCGGTTTCGAACGGTAAGGATTGTTGTAGGACATCGAATCCGAGAAGATACGTCAGGTTTTCACACTGACACACACTCATGTCTTATTGTCCCACAGGAAAAAAAAACTTTTCATCTGTTCTGGTTTAACATGGCAAGTAAAATAAATGTCCAGTCAGAATATATTAACATCCAATCTGTATTAACATGTCCACGTATTTTGTGTGAGGATCCCTCAAAATTTGACATAACACAGATCGATTTCATCAGTTTACCTACACCACTGGTGTGTATGTTCCGTTTTACCTGGCGAGATAGGGCCGTCTAATTTTGGATGGAGGCTACGCCGACTAATATTGGTTGAACGGTACATAACCCCTGATTTTCCCGTCTGTTAAACATCGCGTTACAACTTGGTTGTTATCATTATCTGAATACCAAAAAGCTGATGACTTTTTCACATAGTCAAATAAAATGTCAGTCATGCGCGTCATTCCAAGTAGCAGCTGTGCGCCGAGTAAAATGGCTTTTTTCCTTGTTTTTTCCAGGTTTATTTTAACTCATAAACCTCTTTACCATGATATTTGCAAGCTTATCCGGAATAAACCAAGTCTACACTGGTAATACATTTATCATCTACTAAATAGCCATTGTCAGCGGGTCTTTGTGTTTTGTATACTTTTAAAGTTTCCTTTTGTTCATTAACTTGGCCTACAACAAACTGATAAATGAAATTGACGTAACATTATTCCTGAGTGCAGGCACCCCGAGGTGTCATGCTATTGTAACCTTTGTATGATGTAATGAATGCCCTTTGTCTTCGCCGTCATTCAGTAATGGTAATATAAGTACATATGTAAGTTTTCAGACTGATAAAATTTACTTAATTACACCTCTGACAGTGCAGCTTGTGAGAAATTTAAATTTTTGTATTTTAAATAAAGTTTGAAATCCGTTGCTCAATTTCTATTACAATATTTTAAATCGAATGATCCTTCAAATTATTTTCCAGAGATCGAAAATATCGATTTTTATGAACCAGAAGAAAGCTTATATACAGTCTGAGTGTTCACTTTGATGAATTGTCTTTCGATAAAGTTGCCAAACTTAAAAAGTCCTACGTGAATACATGCACAGACAAGGGACAGAGATTCAAGGGTATTTAGATTGCACTTTACACAGCGACCAGACTGTTTACCAAGGTAGATATCAAAAGAGATCGATTGTAGGAAATTGACCTTGTTTCTGATAATCTCTATGACAATAACTCAAAGAAGTGGACAAATATCACATAATGATTTATTATCAACAAATTATTAAACAAAAATAATGAGGTAAACAATAGTATACGTGTATAATCTGTTCGTAACTTAGAACCTGCAAAAACAGAATAAATGTCATGCAAGTATTAATAAAAGGCATTATTATTTTTTTCGAGAATAAAAAACTAAGAAAAATTTTTAATGCCTTTATGGCCGACGGCTATACAGTATGCAGATTGCGTATACACATTTCTTGACGCGACCAACATTTATTCAAGTAGACGTTATAATTAATCACTCATCCTTTAAAAGTTCATTTTAATTTCAAATTATAATTTAATACCAGTGAAAAGGTCTGTCATTTTCGTCTGGTGCATTTCAATTTGTTCAAGGATTTTCGTTAGAAAGCGATTGTTGATGACAGAAAAAATATTTCTTTAGAAGTAATCGTGATTTCGCCGTCACATTTAGTCTTCGCACTCATATATATATATATATATATATATATATATATATATATATATATATATATATATATATATATATATATATATATATATATATATATATTTATTTATATATATATATATATATGCGCTGTCATCTCGACTTGCTGTAAATGTGTTCTTTCATTGTTTGAACACTCCCACCCCTTGTCAGTATGTGTACAGCTTTTTTACAGTCGTACAAATGCAAAAATGTACTCTGCTCAATTTACATGCATACACACTTTCCAACCGGTTATTATCACACTAACAGTTGTCACTATCAAAATACATGAACTATTAATTAAAATTAAAAAGGAACCTCTGGGGTGCTGTATATGCACAGCTAGTCGTGTTAGATGGGCTCTATACAGAATATCACACATCATTTTACCTGCAATCGAAATATAATCGCACACCTGTGACGAAATTGAAATACCATTGCAAATGGTATATCATCTGCAATATTAACTATTATTTCATGATATAAAAGATATAAACATCTTCTTGCATACGCTTATTTAATAGTTCTCTGTGTAGGTAAAAGACACGATTTTGTTTAAAATGGGGCGCGTATTCATAAAATTTGAACTGAGAATATCAATATTTAAAATGCTTGTGTATTTATAATTGTTGATTAAAATTATTATGTCAATAGGGCGCATTGGAATTAAAAGCAAACGCTAGAACATATTTATTACGTACAACTTGCATTTACACACACATTGATTAATCATTTAAATGCCCTAGGAATTTATTGATGTAGATTTTTTTTAAAATGTAAATTATTTTAAATTTTGCAAAAATCCAATCAATGGCTCCATCATTTAATTCACTGGAATTTCTCTCAGTTGCAGAGTTAAATCTGTTGCAAATATTTTCCGAGATAAATTAGAGTATGTAGTAACTTTACGATATGCTAACTAACATGGAAATACTTTTTTCTGCATGCTGCATCGCAATTTATATGATTCTGTTAAAATAAATTGTAAACAAAAAATCCAAGCTAACAAAACAAATATAAGTTGAATATAAGATTGTTAATTAAGTCCCTTTTAAGGTAAATTCTTTCCAAAACAAATATTATTTGATGCTTCACATGTCATCTTAACATGCTTAAAGGGAGGTAATCGAAAATTGAATGTATACAGATTTAATATATATATAATTTAAGCGTCTATTTTTGACGATTCCCAACACCACTAACAAATCCTAGTTATGTTGCTACATGTAGCTACTTTCTGTATATACATTGCATTATGTGCTTTGCTCATAAAATATCAAAATTACAGTTTTTGCTGTAATCTTTCCCCAGCCATAGACACAACTCTCAACACTTTTAATGTGTTTATTTCAATAACCATAAATATGTTTTTTACTTTACTTATTTACTCCAATGTATTGTGTTTTGTTTATAACAAAGCTCCAATGTACATAATGTTATGGTTAAACCTATTTTTGTTATGTTCCTGTTATATATTTTCCCATATTTTTTTATGTATTATTTATAATTTCATGATTCATAGTCAAAATCTAAGTCATGCAACTAAAATTGTGCACCCAATAATTTTTGTAGCAGTCAAAACTCTAGCAGCAATCGATTGCAGCTACTTACTTACAAATTTTATGTATCACAAAGTTGACAATGGGTAATTCAATCGAGCAATACCGCGCTGCAATCGGTCTATTTTATTTATCAGGTAGAGGTACATACAAAACATATTCATGTTTGGTGTTTTCTTATGTAAATATATTGCATTTACTCAAAAATACGCTCAAATTACTCACTCACTGCGTAGCATTTATTATACAGAAATTTGTGTACATTAACTTTTATTTACAGTTTTTCACTTTCGTCTTATTGGCATGCGGGGATATTGAGGTCAATCCGGGCCCAACTATGGAAAGTGTCCTTGACATTTTACATCTTAATATCCGTAGTATTAGACGCAAACTAGGTTATTTAAACTCGTTTGTTCATGACTTTGATATATTATGTTTTACTGAAACTCATCTGGACCATACAGTTAGCAATGATGACTTATATTTGAGCGGTTTTAACACTATATTGCGAAAAGATAGAAACTGTTTTGGGGGCGGTGTTATGATTTACTTGTCTAATCAAATACGTGCTCTAAGACGCGAGGAATTCGAGCCGCTGGCGTCGAATGTATTTGGATTGAAATAGATAACCATACCTGTAAATACTTTTTATGTTGCATATATCGTCCTCCAAACTCCGATAGTAACTTCTGGACAAAACTCACATGGTGCATTGAAAAAGTAGGCGATATCTCTGATAAAATAATACTGGTAGGTGACGTGAATATAGACCTTCTTAATGCTCCACAAACACATACAATTCGTGAAATTATTTCAACACATAATCTTGTTAACAATATCCATGAACCGACTAGAACTTCAAACACGTCGAGCACGCTTCTTGACCCAATTCTCACGTCTGTTGACATTCAAGTTTGTGAATCGGGCACTCTAACAATAGACGCTTCTATTAGTGACCATAAGGCAACTTATATCTCTCTTTCTTCGAGTATAAATTATAATCGTTCGTACAAGCGTAAAGTGTGGGCCTACAAAAATGCAGACTTTAAAAAACTAAATTCACTAATCGAAAACTGTGATTGGACTAAAATCATCAACAAAGCTGAAACTATAGATATTGCAACTGAAAATTTTACATCGGAATTTCTTTCTTGTGTTCGTGAATGCATTCCTGAACAAACTATTACAATTCGTCCTCGCGACAAACCATGGTTTGACTCATTATTACGTAAAACAATTAGAATCAGAAACCGTCTTCGTAACAAAGCACTTAAAACTAAAAAAGATTCCGATTGGTCCGCATATAGAAAGGTCCGAAATTCAGTTAACAATATGAAAAAGCATGCGATATCAAACTATTATGACAATATAGAAACATATTTGGAAGATTCAAGTAAAAATAATAATAAGTTATATTGGAAGCTGATGAAAGATACATTTAAAGTGAAATTATCTAACGAAATACCACCAATACAAATACTTAATGATAGCGGTTTAAGACGAGTAGCTTATTCTGACTTTGATAAGACTGAAGTTCTGAATTCGTATTTTTCTTCTATTTCCTCTATTGACGATTCAAATGAAACACTGCCAAACATGTATTATTTGTGTAATGAAACAATATGCAATATTATCATTGATGAACAGGAAGTTTTAGACATTATTTCAATACTTCCTGTGAACAAAGCTATTGGTCCAGACTGTATTAGTCATAAAATGCTAAAAGCGACTCTTTTTAGTGTTGTTAAACCACTTACCATGTTGTTTAATAGGTCTTTGTCAGAAAAAGTTTTTCCATCTTTTTGGAAATTAGCTCATGTTATTCCTCTTTTTAAAAAGGATGATCCCTCTGTGGTTTCCAATTATAGACCTGTGTCGTTATTATCTTGTGTCAGTAAAATTATGGAGAGAATAATATTCAAACACGTGTATAATTATTTTCATAGTAATGATTTATTTTATCGATATCAAGCAGGATTTCTACCTGGTCATTCAACTGTATACCAATTACTTGAAACTTATCATAATATTGTTCAAAACATTGATGAAGGTAAATCATGTTGTATGGTTTTTTGTGATCTTTCAAAGGCTTTTGACAGAGTATGGCACAAAGGTCTACTTTTTAAATTACAAACTTATGGTATATCTGGTGATCTTCTCCAGTGGTTTTCTAGTTATCTATGTCAAAGGTCACAAAAAGTAATGTATAAGGATC